GTACAAAAGATCAACTCACTCTTCCTCTTCAAAGAGGTGCCACCGGACTTCGGGGACGGAGTAATAGCCCTGGCATCCTTGGGTAAAAGGACTCCCAAGCCCTTGTTAGGATAAGCCCTCACGGCCTACAATTTCTACTCTTGGTCTTTGGAGAGCATAGGCGGATCTGCAAGGGAATGATGGATGAGTACACGTACAAAAAAAAGAAAAAAAAAGTAAGTATAGGGCGTACCGAGTTTCCTAACAACACTCCATTGTGTTGGTACCAAAACCCTATCGGCCTCTGCAGCTCACTCTCCGTCGACGAATAAGAAACGAGATTTCCAGCTGTGGCAATTGGAGGGTAATCCCATAAGCAACTTACCACCTCTTGTGGTAAAATAATACCATCCTCTATTTGGAGCAGAATTCTCACTCAAGTTATAAGCTGCATGAAATTCAACAGAGGAGGCATCTTCATGATGCACTTTCCTCTATAGTACCAAGAAACCCAGCAAAACTCTCCAACCGTTAGGTGACAATCACCCTGGGATAAGTGAAAAGTAATGAAGAATACTACAAATAAAAGGAGATATTGGAAACCTGAGTCCAGCCTCCAGCATCTCCTCATAGATGGCAATGTCGCCAGAGGAGTCATCAGAGGCAGACTCACTCATCTCGGCTCGACAACATAGCACAATCAGAAGAATGTGATGGGTGGAGACAATCCGTAAAATATCAACGTCTGAATTTAAAGTGCTGGAGATAGTACTTACTTTGGACCCATCATCATCGAGAGCTACCTTGTCTCAATACTTCTTGGCACGAGGGCGTAAAGCTCAGTCCGAGCCGTTGCCAGAAAGGTCTCTAGGAGTATGATTTTGAGAAGCTACGCTTGAAAGAGCTGGACCATGGGCACAAATTAGATCACTTGGATGGTCTCCCACAGTATATCCGACAGCCTACACGCCATGGTCTGATCGCCCGAAGGAGATTGATGCAGCCTGGACGCCCAAACTGACTGCCTCCACATGCCCAGGCTGCCCAGCGCAGCAGACAACTTGCCTAGGCTGCCCAGTGCAGTAGGCTGCTCGCCCAAAGCTGTCCACCCCTCCTACTCGCCCAGATCTGTCTCCCTCGCGTTCAGTAACACGCAGACAGCAGCCTCAACACCCAGATTGGCGCCGAAATCAGTACCCTGCTCGCCCAAAACATCCTGCTCAGCACCGAAATTAGCTCTCCTCATCTCCTGCTCGCCCATGTTGACTAAATTAGCACCCAAGTAAGCGCCCAGCACCTCCATTTCGCGCACGGCAGCTGCGCACCAAGTGGAGGTGTCCCACGGCAGCTCCACCTTTCTCAGGCCTTGCGCCTCCATCTCCCCTCCAAGGACAACGCCAACTCTTTTAAGTTCCTCACTGAGATTTGCAAAACTTTGAACATCCTCACCACTAGCTACCATTGTTCAAAATGCTCAATTCGGAAATCTCAGAAATGGGTTCTTGAAAGATTTCAAGAAAAAGCTCTCTTCCTCTCTCAAGAATGAATGAAGTGGGTGGAATGAAGAAGAAAGCTACTATTTATAACCTAGGGTTTTAAAATCTTCTTGGAGAAGCAAAAACCCAAAAGCTCCAAATTGCAACTTAGGGCTTTTCAAGAATCCAAAAAAGGAAGGGAAGGAAGGAGTTTATAAAGTTGATAGGGTCCTACAAGCAAAAAGAGTCTAATGGAGGAGATGGGGTCGCTGATCAAGAGAAGTTTTTTTTTAAAAAAAAATCAGATTTAAAAAAGGGCTATTTTGATCGCAACTCCAAATGGAGCTTATTATATATCAAAATCAATGCCCTCGACAAGCTGAGCAAATCTCATTACCATAGGTAATGAGATTTTTTGGCCTCCTGAAGTTCTTTCAGTTATGTCGATTTGTCGAAAGTTCAAACTCAACCTGAATGTCCTCCTTTCCAAGTTCCATTAGACGCAGGACATTGGAGGGCAAATGATGGGTCAAGTCCAAGAGTCCAACTCATGTGATAAGCTCGATCCGAGTTTTAAGGCCCAACTCCAAGGGGTCCACTAAGTCTAGCCCAATGTGATCGATCTAGTCAAACTCATCAAGCTCAACGAGCTACATCAATAGGGAGCATGCAAGGTCATCCAGGAGTCCCCTCTACCACCTTGGAGTAGGGGTCATCCAAGAGCCTCCTCTACACTACCAAGGGAACGTCCAAGAGCCTCACCCTCGTCGCTTGGAGAGAGTCAATCTTTTCTCATCCATTGACCAAGTCTTTTGGAGAGCATCATAAACTTCCTTGCCCATTGAGGAGAGCAGAGGTCACCAAGCTATTTAATCACTGTTAAAGTCACCCCAATTCGTTATGATTATTAAACAGCCCCAATCCGTTATGATCGCTTGATTAGCTATTTAATTAGTATCCATTATGAGGCGACTATAAAATGTAAGCTCCACCAATACTTGGGGGGCATCTCACTCATTTTGAGCACAATTCTCTCCTCTCTGAAAGCTTCTAATCTCATGTTCTCTCATTGCACCTGAGTTAATAAAATCCCGGCGACCCTTGCCATTTCAAGTGGACGTAGGTCACTTTGACCAAACTACTATAAACTTGGTCTTCTCCTTCTCAGTTTTACTGCATTTTATTTTACTTAATTGACAAGTGGTGTACAAACCAATTTTATGCATCATCACATAACAAGGCAAATTCTGAAAATATTTAGAAATTTAAGAAAAAAGTGTGTGTGTGTGTGAGAGAGAGAGAGAGAACTTACTAGGAGAGTAGATCAATCTTTAATATTTTCAACCTGTCATTTCCCTTCCTTCCTTTGTGCTCTGTTTGGTATGATGAAAAAATGAAAGGATAGAAAATTGAAAAGATGAAAAGTTGGAGGAATAAATAAAACATCATGTTTGGTAAGGAAAAAAATAGGAAGGATGAAAAAGTGGATGGATGAATTTTCCTTCCAACTCATCAAAATCAATCCCCCTAAAATCAGAAGGAAAGTTAATTATTTGTGTTGAAATATATCTTATTTGTCCATATATCTTTTGATATATATATATACATATACTATATATATATTAATTTCATATATAAATACAATGATAAAATATGTATTTATATATATTTTTTTAAAAATTTTAAAAAATTTGTTTCCATCTTATCTAGGGGTAGAAATTTCGATTTAATACGATAACACGACTCAAACTCCCCATGAATTTTATGACTCGAACTCGAAAATAATCTGACACACGAACACGAAATATAAACGGTTTATATTCAGTTCAACCCGTCAAACTCAAAATTGATTCTATCAACCGTTTATTTAAAAATAAACATTTTCTTTATTTTCTCGTTTATATGGTAACACAAAATTAACATGTTTAACTAATATTATATACATAAAATATTAACTATATGTAACTATTTATTAAGCATTTTTTTTTAACAAATATTTATTGAGAATTGACATAATTATTATATAAAGAATATATTTTTACCTATTATTATTATTATATTTATTTAAGTTAATTTTTAGTTTGTAAAAAAAATATGAGTATAGATTCAATTGAGTAAAAATAGAATATTAGCGTTAAATTTTTTATTCAAAGTTTATGTGAGTCAACACAAATATAAAAACGAACACGACACGAAAATAAACAGGTCAACTCAACACGATACGATTAGCTAAATGAGTTGAGTTATGTTTACCTAATGTTCAACACGAATCTGCAATAACTCGACACGAACCTAACATGACATGACTCGATTGTCATCATTAATTTTAGCAAACACAAAAAAAAATTAATAATAATAATAAGCATTTTTTTTTTCATCCATTCTATCAAATACAAAGGAAAGAAAGTGTATCATTCCTATTTTTCTTCTTTAAAGATAAAATGTGTATTTCTCTTACTTTCCATCTTTCCTACCAAACATAGCATTCCAGTTTGGATAGTCAATGAATCCAACCAAGGGTCACAAAAATGACTCTTTTATTGATGGTTTCAGTTTGGGTCTTGGTTTTTCTATTATGATTCATATAATAATAACTGCTTCTTCAATATCGTTGTGGGAATTTTCAGTTTGCATTATGCGAATGTCTCGGTTGGCACGCCTAGTTTGTCATATCTGGTGGCACTTGACACTGGCAGCGACCTGTTTTGGTTACCATGTGATTGTACCAGTTGTGTACTTGGTTTGGTGAGATCCGGAAAAGTACGTTGTTCTGTTTGACTTCTGTAGTTTCTTCATATAAAAAATGCATGTTTGAAAGAAAATATGAGCTTTAACCTTTCCAGCTTGTGCCAATGGCTCCGCACTTCTCTAATCTTGTTCTCATGATCTTTTATTATCGGCTTAACTTATGATTTGAGGTGTAGGAGCTTGTTACTCGTGCCAGATTTTTTTTCTGCTTTTGCTATCTCAAAAAATATGTTTAAATTGTTTAAGTGATTTTGCATTTGTTTTCTCAACGTTTGAGAAATCTTTTGAAGAAAATTATATGCTGACATGACCAATACAAAGTGCATTTTGTAATGGTTATTATTGATGGCTTTTCAGTTCTCTGATTAGTTTACATTTTGCAAGAACAGGGGAGGGACAGGTCACCGGAAATTTTCATGTGTCGATTATCAAATGGATTTTTGACAAGTATAGACTTCATTTTCAATATATCTGCTTCTTGTCTTGATCAGATTTCAAAATTTTATGATAATACCAGACAATGTGTGCAGTTGTGAAGTTTTAAATTAATTGATGAGCCTTAACTCTTAAGCAGTGTGTGGCAGTGCTGTTGACATTGTTCATTAGGTCTTTTTCTTCTTTTGAACTTGTATGCAGAACTTGGATAGCAACTAGCAAGTGTGTCGATGACAAGATATTTTAGGATATTCAATTGTTTGTTGAATTGTAACTGCTATCTTGACCAGTAGCTCTTGTAATCTTTTCTTAAAACAGAAGATAGACTTCAATATTTACAGCCCTAATACATCATCAACGAGCATGACAGTTCCCTGCAACAGCACCATATGTGGACAACAAAGAAGACAATGCTCTATGACAAGGAAAGCTTGTGCATATCAAGTTTTATATCTTTCCAGTAATACTTCGTCTACTGGGATCTTGGTAGAGGATATGTTGCACTTAATCACAGATGATAACCCATTAAAAGATGTTGATGCACAGATTACACTTGGGTATGTATTATATCCCGATATTGTGTTTGTTAAAAGCTTCTAGTGTAATGAAAACCTGCCTGCCTGCCTGTGACTAACAACATCACTTAGTGAAGGTATTGATGCGTAGTCAAGATAATTTTCTTTCAAGGGGGGTCAGGGTAAGAGGAGGAGCAGTGAATGATGGCGAGATATCAGTTTTGTTTCAAAATTTTGATCATGCTAACTTAAAATTTCTTGGACTTATTATTTTACCCATCATTTGATTTGAGAATGATCGGTTCTCTTATCGTTTGATTTGAGTTTGGTCATTATTTTTTTTACATTGTACCACTTTAATCTATTGTTCTTCAGGCCTATGTTTAGGTAGAGAAATATTATCTTCACTGGCCCTTATGACTTATTGTGTTCCTTGTATTTCAGCTGTGGAATAATTCAAACTGGCACATTTTTGGAAGGTGCAGCTCCCAATGGTCTGTTTGGGCTTGGTATGGATGCTATATCTGTTCCTAGTGTTTTAGCAAGTCGAGGACTTGCTGCAAATTCTTTCTCTATGTGTTTTGGGCCTGATGGACTGGGGAGGATCGTTTTTGGAGATAAAGGCTCCTCAGACCAAGGAGAAACACCATTCAATATTGACAAGTTACAGTAAGTTATTGCTTTAATAATACGGACCAACTATAGTGGTTATCACTTGTTATTTGCATTACGCCGTTTGGCGTTCACTAAGTGCAGAATATCAACTCTTAATGGCTTTTGCAAAATGATGTGCTATTTGTTCTCATATATTTTTCTGAATCCCACTACCAGTCCGACATACAATATCAGCGTGACACAAATAACCGTGGAGAAAAATGTCACTGATCTCAATTTCACTGCAATCTTTGACTCTGGCACTTCGTTTACTTACTTGAACGACCCGGTTTATACATTTATATCAGAGAAAGTAAGTCATCCTGACTGTATATTTTGGTATTTTATCTCCAGTTTAACCATGTGCTTCATATTAATAAGAAGGATGCTTCTGGCTATTATGCAGTTCAATTCTGCGGCCAAAGACAAACGTCATCCACCTGATTCCAATCTTCCTTTTGAATATTGCTATGAAAGGTCAATCTGATATGGAAAATATTTTTTTTTTTGTGTGACTTTTTGATTGAACCCTCAAGAACTGACTCTTCCTCTGAATACAGTGCAAATCAATCTGTCATTCCGTTTCCTCATGTCAATCTAACTATGGAAGGTGGAACCCAATTCTACGTTACCGAACCAATAATAATAACTAGTGTTCAGGTAAGGTTTCATTTCTTGCGTTTTAATATCGTTTTCCTTTTTTCTTGGGATGTGTACTACTAATGTGATAATACTCTCCTAGGGCGGTGGATATGTATATTGTTTGGGTGTAGTCAAAAGTGGGGACATAAATATCATTGGACGTAAGTATATTGTTACATATTACTTTCTTAATGGCATTTACTGTTTACATTAACGCAGATTTCATTTATCATATTTCATTTCCATATGATATTGAGTAATGCTTACTGGAACAAACTTAATGTTTCCAGCCACACTCTTATCAAGAGATTATTGCCTGTCATATACTGCATTGCCTATGGTAGTTATGCATTCTTCTAGACAGTCATGTTAACCCTATCTCACACTCCCCCCCCCCCCCCCCTCCTCTCCCTTGAAAAAAAATAAACCCCCCACTGGGGAAGGGGGGTGTTAAAACGGGTACTCCCGATATTATATTGCCATGGAAGATCTCTTATCGTTGATAAGATTTGATCTTGAGATACAGCAGAGGAGCATAACTTGAAAGAGGATCATTGCTTTGTTTTGATTTTTAAGTCATTTGCTGTATTTGCTTATATCTGAAGTATCATTGGTAGCATAGTATCTATGCATTGTGAGCGTTCATTAAGGAAAATGTTATGTCTACTACCAAGTCTTTTACTAAATTTTATATCTCAAATAATGTGACAAATTGAGAGTTATAAGATAATAGTGAGAACTTGTGGGACCTACTGATCCTATAATTCATATTAATCTTGGGATAAAAAATTTGGTGGATATAACATTAAATACCAATCGACTCCTTCCTGATAATATCTGTTTATGTTTGTTTTTATCCAGAGAACTTCATGACCGGTTACCGTATAGTTTTTGATCGTGAGAAGATGGTTTTGGGTTGGAGGGCTTCTGACTGTGAGTATTGTTTCTTCATTATTAATTTGATTTTTGAAACTCTATCTCTCTTAAGTGAGTCGGGATTTGTTGTATCCAGGTTATGATGCCAAAACTTCCAATACTCTACCGGTAAGCCCGCTAAGCTCCCCTGCAGGTCCTCCCGATGCCTCCATGAATCCAGAAGCCACATCAGGAATTGGGAATGGCTCCCCTTTCCCAAGTTCAACACCGCCACCACCATCTGCAGGGAACCATTCGCCCCGCTTGAATTCTTTTGTTTACACACTTGTGTTGGCTCTTTTTTCTCTTTCGACCCACTATTTGATCATTCTTTCCTCGTAAGGTTTTTTTTTTCTTCATTATATATATTTTTATTAATATGAGGTGTATTACACACAATATTTGAGCCATTGCGTGCATCCTATTTATTAGTACTTTCAGCATTGATTCCAACCTGAGTTGTAAATATACTACTGTTTCTCCGCATCTCTCTGCTTGATAAATAGGAGAATGAATAAAGAATTTGTTTTCTGAATGTCAATGCTAATACACGAGCCGGATTTTCTCTTTTGGGGGGGGGGGGGGGGGGTCAAATAATGGTATAACAATGTATTTTTATTCTTAATGGATCATTTAATTAGATCATTAATGTTATAACATTTACATGAATACATAAAAATCAATCTCACCCGGTATACTAGTCTCGTCTCTTTTCACCATTAGCCTGATGACTAACTCCTATATGCACATCCCTATATTGATCGCACTGGTATATTTTCAATCTTGTTACCATTTAGGGCTGGTAATCCAGTCTTCCCTTCGCATAAAACATGATTTTAACACACACAAAAACTGTTATTTTAGTTTCAACGCACACAAAATTTTTCTTTCATCACCAAAGAACATTTAAACAATAATACAAAATTATCCCACAAGTTTTCAAATTTTATATGTATAACAATTCACATTTATAAAATATTTAATTACGACACCAAACATCAATATATATATTATATATATGAAATATTCACATACAAGAACCCACATGGTTAATATAAAATATCGTCTCAAAAAAAATAATAAACTATTCGTCTTGATTCCTGAACTCTAACTTAAAATCCTTTTTTCCAAACTCAAAATAATCACCACCTAGATCAAAGAACAATGCAACGATCAACTCCTATTTCTAACTTCATCATTTGACATATATACCTATTGATATATACCCATCGATAATAGTTTAAAGTAAGATTATATCGTTAGTCTTTAGAAGTTTAAATACTATTCTGAAAAATTTATGGAAGCCTAGTAAACAAAAAATTTGTTAGGAAATTACACTTTGAGCCCATCGTCTTCTAGTCCATAATCCCTTTAATTATACTGCCCATTCTCGCTGCTTCTCGAACCCACCCCAAACTAATCAGAGAGAGAGATAGGGTTGAGTCTCAGTTCGTCCATGGCCTTTGCTCACTATCTACTAGCCGTTCCCGTCGAAACGTCAATTTCTCACAGGAAATCTATTATCACTCCGTCATTATTGACATCGCTATCGCTATCGCCATCGGCATCTTCTTCTTCTTCTTTTTCCTCATCTTGAGGCTCTGTATTTTCAGTTGCATTATCTTATTCTTGTTCTTCTACTCATTCTTCTCTCGAGTCAAAGGATCGTAAACTCTCTATCATTCCCAAGCTCTGCAGAATCGGTGACAGAGGTGATTTCGATTTTTTTACTTTTGGTTTTTCGTTGTTTTACTTGTTTTCTGCTTGTAGTTCTGGTTCGGGGGACTTTGGGTTCTCGGTCTACTCAAAACCTTTCGATTGCTCTACTAGTATCTGCTCAAACTGTTTCTGTTAATTAATTTTATGTCAAGCTATGACAAACTTGCCAATTTTGATTGATACGCGGTGCTGGAGCATAAGCTTTGCCGCTTCAGCCTGTTTAGTGACTTGCAATATTTTGGAATCTTATGTCTGTGGGGTGGGTGATTGTAATAGTTATAGGAAATGCTGGGTTCAGAAGGGCAATTGCGTACTTGCTGGCATGAATTGAAATTATTATAGTTTGCATCCGTATGTTGACCATCTACAAATATAGAACTTATGGAGGTGGCCTATGAAATTGATTGACACAGATTCGGGATTCTTAATTTTCTTTCGAAGTGGAAGATTTTGGAATATCTGAATATATGGGCGCTTGCAAACACTTGAATATATTTCCTTTAGAAGATTGAGAAGGCATAAGATTTATATGAATTTTGATGGCCTAAATTTTGAAAACTTTATAATTTAAACAACTGATCACTCAATTCGGATGTTGTATTTATCAGACGACCACTAAGGTATGTCATTCCTTTCTGTATCGCTATAATGCCCCTTGTTTCGTCGCCTGTTGGGATTATTGTTTATTTATTTTTTCACCTTATTTTGAATTAAGTAAGAAAAACGCATCACTCAGTATGACAGCCCCCCAAAACCCGGTGGGACCTGTGCAACACTGGCAATTTCTAGTCAGTAACTCCCATGTCTGAAATCTTGGAAAAAATTAGTCGTGGAAGTTAGGAAAGATGGCACTATTTGCTAGTAATTACTGTCTTTACTGTGGATGGCCATGAGTATGACTTCTGGCTTGTGGTTTAGAGATTTTCAGTTGGAAGGGTGATAAAAAAGGCCGTTTAGAATTCATTAATTGACTAGTTGAAATCAGTTCATTTGTCATGATAATGAATTGTTGAAGAGCTCAAATGGATGAGCCTGGTTATAAATTAAGTTAAAGTCCAGGATAGAGAACAAATTGATCATTCTACTGGTATTGCTTCATTATTTTTTTATGGAAAAAAAATTTAGTTGCTTGAATTAGTTGGCAGATTCTTGGCTAAACAGTTGTGAGGTGTCATCTAAACAATTGAGTTGGAATGAACATTATTATTGTTGTCACATTTCTGACACTAAAATTCATTGAAATATCTCAGATAATTCTTTTAAATTGCATCGTATCTTTTGTCATCTGGATTGCATCATATCAAGATTATGACGTACTGAATTTGCGTTTCCATGAGTAATATTTTTATTGCCCACACACATCCTCAGTGTGTTGTGTCTGACCCACATTATGTGTTGTGTTTCCTTATGCATTTTCCATATTGTATCTTTTAATTGGAATTAATCTTATTTTTCTGAGATATATTTGTGACGGAAAGGTGCCCACCTGTGATTCTTAGCTAGTGAATGGTCAGATTATGAGGTGAGCATGTATTGGTTTTGTCTATATTTATGAAAATGTGTAGCTAATGAAATAGCACCAAGCTTTATGGATTCCCCGCAGATTGTGATGTAAACAATGTTGCAATGTGTGTTATTAGTTTAGCTGCTTATCTTTCTTTTATTTTTTATTTTTTATTTTTCCATTCTTCTGGACTGTGGGGTCTGTTACAGTGAATAGAGTGGAGATAATTTATATACATTACAAAATTCATCTAGTTAAAGGAGTTTGCAAAATTGAAATAATTGACGATGATATCGGGAAAGAATTTCTAAAGCGATCTCAAATTGTACAGAATAGTAATTTTTGTGCCGAAGGTTATGACAATCGGTGTTGTACTTCTTCCTTCCTGCGGTTAGAGTTTCCTTGAAAAACTTTGGTATTAGTCATCTGTCCTGCACCAATGTACAAATTCTAGATAAATATGAGTATTGGTCTTCATAACCCGTAGCATATGTTTGAACAATATATTCCCTTGACAATGTGGAACTTTGAATTGACCGGAAAAAGATTCAAATATCAATATGTGGACAAAATGGATTTGAATTGTAGTTTAGGTAAGAACAGTGAATCTGAGAATCTAAGTACCTAGTAAGCCTGAGTCAAATTGTCAATTGGATAATGAATTTTTAATCTACCAAGAAATCCAATTTTGAAGCTATCAGCCGTGTAACCAGGGAAAAAAGTTTCAATTACACTGATATCAGTATCTATCTAGATTGAAAAAGGAGTTTAAAGTTATATATGATGTTCATAAAAGCCACTACCAGATTTCTGGAAAGGGGTGACTTTACAAGTCTGAATTAGTAATGATGCTCATGAGTGTCTTTATTTTTTTTCATGTCTATAATGGGGACTACTCTCATTGACTCGGATTTCACAGCTCTTTTTGACTCTGGGACCTCCTTCACATATCTGGTTGACCCTCCCTATAGAAGTCTTTCAGAGAGTGTAAGCATCAAGATGACACAGATTAATTCTAATTGTTTTCCCCAATGGACACCCCTTTAAGTCATCATCACCTTTGGTTCTTCTGCAGTTCCATTCACAAGCCCAAGATAAGCGGAGGACACCTGATCCAAGGATCCCTTTCGAATATTGTTATGATATGAGGTCACCACTCTAAACTATATCATTAGTTCCTTCCAGTGACTAACCCCCTAAAGCTGACTGCCCTTTTGTCTTTATAATGTTTATAATGGGCAGTCCTGATGCAAATACTAGTTTGATTCCTAGTATGAGTCTATCTATGAAAGGAGGAGGCCAATTTGCCGTTTATGATCCAATAATTGTCATCTCCGTGCAGGTAGAGTCTTCCTCCTGATGCAGTTGCTTCTTTTTATTGTTTAGCCGATATTATACTAACTTTTTATGGCATGCATTTTTTGAAGCATGATCTTGTATATTGCCTAGCTGTCGTCAAGAGTCAAGAACTGAATATAATTGGACGTAAGTCTTCTGATTGGAAGTAACGCACTCTATGTTCCTTATATGCCATGACTAGTCACAAAATACAAGAGAGAAAATGGAATTAGTAATTTAAACCCCAAATGCAAGTGCATGCACGCGTGGACAACAAACTTCAGTTGATGTCCCATGAATTCATCAGCAAATTTTATAATAAAATGTGAAACATCTAAATTTGCGCTTTTAGATACCGCAATCAAACGATGCCTAAACTAGTTTACTTAACCCTACGTAATTGTTGGATATTGTTTGCCTATGAAGTCAATAATGTTTCCCTTCAATTGAGATAAACTCATCTTAACATAACAAATCTTTGTCTCAATATTTTTGGAGTCAACTACATGAATCATGTTTCGCTATTTTATTCTTTTAAGCACCATTTTTTTTTTGTCTCAATTTAGATACTTCTCAAAAATATCAATTCTAGAAACACAAGGATCAAAATTTTGTTTCAAAAAATAGTCAAAACTTTTCCGTTTTCATGGAAGCCAAATGAATCGGTAATTGAGGATCAAAATTTCCATATTTCATGTTGTTTCAACCAATTCTTAGAATGTTTCGGAAATAGATTGTCAAATTTTTCTCTATTACCATTGAATTTATGAATTGCTACCGAAACGTTACCATTTCTCCAATTACGGAAACAATGCACCGAAATAAATTTGGTTCCTTGTGAAGATATTGAGGAGCGACTTGGTCGTGGCCAGAAGCTTGCTTATAGATTTGATCGACTTATGGTTACTTTGTATCTCTGAAGCTTGTTGGTGGAAGTGGTAGTGTGCTTTAACTTCTAATAGAAAAATGCTTATGTTCAATTACTTAACTAGGATGAAGTGACTAAGGACCTTGGTGAGGTTGATGCATTGAGGTGTTATAGATGACATACCCAAAACATCAAAAAACATAAACAAAGGACTGACTTATAACATTGGTATCTTTATATCCCTGTTTGACAATTTACAACCAAGCTTTCCATTGCCAAAAATAAGTGATGGCTGGTGGACAAGGCCTTTCTTGATCCCAAAGCAAGAACAAAACTGAACTAATGACGCATCCACTTTTTGCGGACTTATTTATGTATGAATATATGATTGCTGAGACTGCGGTTATTGATCATCATGCAGAAAATTTTATGACGGGTTACCGCATTGTATTTGACCGAGAAAAACTCGTCCTTGGTTGGAAGAAATTTTGATTGTGAGTGTTGTTTTCATCGAAGCAATAAAGCCTCCATGCTTATGTACAACGGATTCTATTCAATTTATCACTGAACGCCATGGCTGTCATCCAGGTTATGACATTGATGACCACAGCACTTTCCAATAAGAATCGCAGAACTCTACTAATGTGCCTCCTGCTGTCAGCTGTTGGACTAGGCAACTACTGTACTCCAAAATCAGAAGAGACCAAGAATACTGCTCGGAGCACATTTGCATCACCATTTTATGGCAGGCATGCTTTTTCTATGATTGTTTCCAGCTTCAGATTTATCTTCTTATTCTTCCTATTATTATAGCCTTTCTCTGGTCCTTTTAGCTGACCCTGTACAGTTCCATGTCATACTAGTTTTTAGGTTACACAGTTGTGCCACATTCTGCTGTAAACCCAGCCTGCACATCTCGTCCAATGGGAAATTCTGCTTTTCCTTTAGCCCATTTGTATCCCAGATTATATTTGGTCCTGGGTGTAGATATATGGAGTAAATACACACACATGAAAAGCTGTCATTGAACCACTTCAGTTCTCTTCTGCCCTATTTTTTTGGGTACTTGATGTAACCTGTTATTTCTCATAAATTCTAATTTGAAGGTACGAAACAGTCTACAACATGTATGCAAACATTTGGATGCCGTATGGAAATGAAATTATACATGCTTGTTTTATTATCGTTTTCAGCTTGAGTCCATTTTGGAATATTCCTCGTGGCATTAGAAGTTCCGTAACACTTGGATGATTAACTTTAGGTTATAATGTTGATGGCTCCTGTGGTAGGCACTGTAAGCCATCACAAACTCGAGTGGGAATAGTGGTGTTTGTGCTAATGTACCCTGTAGAACACACGACAACCGATTGAGGCATGGCAAAATGCTTAATTGTCTTTAAACTAAACAATAAAGCAGAATTGTTTGGTATCGTAAGCAGATGTTGAGGTTTACTAAACAGCCCATTAGGAAAGTTCTGATTAATGGTTCCTTTCCTAAAGATTCAAGGAGACAAAAGGAAATGAGCTAACCTAGCGATGCCTATCTTAAATCAAACTCATCTGTTTATGGTATGCAAATATTTTTTTTTAAACAGTAGATAACTCATGGCGTGTTGATGTAAGCCTATTAAAATGTAGTGAGTTTCATTTCAAAAATCGTATGTGACACAATATTCAATTAAAATGTTTTATAAAAAAATTACATTGACTAGAGCAGACATTGGCCAACTAGCTGTGCTGAAAAACCCCTTCATGAGAGCCATGTAAAGCTGGGTCTTTCTTGTTTAATGTCTACAAAAATTTCTTTAATCAATTTTTTTCAGTTTATTTTGATGTCCTCCAAGATTGATGTATTCCAAAAACTGGGTTGTTTATACAGAAAAACACTCTATTTATGGACTAAACATATAAGAGCAATGTTCAAAAACTCAAATGGAACGTAAAAAATTGAAACCAAATACATATCTTAAGAATACCTTCATTAATTCATCCAATTTCTATTTAAGTATCTTTCTTTTATTCTTTCTAGCTGTCCTCCTCAATTATCTCTCCACATTCCAAACCCTCCCCCCACCCCCCAAGCCACACACACAGGAGAAGTAAATATTTGGCGTGACGATGAGAGTATATCACCATTAATATCAGCCACTGGTGTGTGTGTGGTCAGTTACGGTTGACGAAAGTTTAAAATTTTGTTTTAAACCAATCAAAACCATCGAAAAGTTTTTCGTTTTTAAAGAGACCGAAACTAATTGATGATTGAATCAAAATTTTAATATTTTGAAATGTTTCATTAAGTTTCAAGATATTTTGTAATATTTCGATATAGTAATTACACTATTGTTTTGGAATATTTTCAAGGTATTTTAGAATGCTTTGATATATTTTGAACGATGTTTTTAAAAATAGTTTTTAATTTTTTTATTCATGTTCATTCTATTTTCGAAATGTGTCGAAACATTTTTGTTAATGCACTAAAATAAAATTTTAATCATTGGAGTCAAACTTATGAAATTGCATGACTTGATTTTGATTTTTTTTTTATTTGTGATTAATTTAAAGAATAAAATTTCGTTTCAAAACGTCCAAAACATTTTTATTTCCAAAAAAATTGAAAAGAATCAGTGATGAAATTGAAATTCAAATATGTCAGGGTTTTTTATAATATTTTCAGGTTTTTTTTTAATATTTTAATACATTTGCACAATTATTTTAGAATATTCCAAAATATTTCAAGATACTTTACTATATTTTGACCAATTTTTTTTAAAAATAATTATTTATTATTTATCTTTTTTCATTATATTTTTAAAACTGGTCAAATTTTTTTTAAAATTTGTCTAAACGTTTTCGTTTCTCAAGTGAACGAAACAATATACCAACAAAAACTTTTTGGTTCTTAGTAATTATCAAATTTTATCGATATCTATTGTTAATAAATGAGACATAATTTCTAGACATATTTTGAGGACATAATGAGTTGTCATCAATGATATGATAATAAATTTATTAATGTTATAATAAGATTCATCATTACATGCATTTTACTACTCTATCCATTCATAAATATCTGTCGTTTTACCTAATTTTTTTTGTTCCACAATATCTGTCGTTTTATGAAATCAAAGCATAATTAATAATTTTTCTTTCAAATTTACCTTTATATCTGTTTTTCAATAAGTGCTTAATAGATTAAGTGTATGCTAAGTGTTTTTTATATTCATTTCATTCCCAATACGTAATGAATAAAAGTATTTTAGTCTGGTGCAATTATTTTTTATTCATACTAGAGTTATTTAATAGTTTCTTTAATCCCTGTGCAAAAATTTTAAACGACAGATAATTAGGAACGAAAAGAGTATCATTGCATTGGTGACAACTCATTATGTCCTTCAATTATATCTCAATAACATTAGTGTTAAGATTTACTTTCATAGCAATGAATTCAACTTAGAACAATGCTATTAGAACATAATTTATGAACATAATTTGAGGATATAATGAATTGTCACCAATGAAATGATTGTGAATTCATTTAATACTATAATGAGACTCGTCATTAAATATATTTCACTATCATTTCATTAGTGACAATTCATTATATCCCCAAATTATGTTCATAAATTATGTCCCAATAACATTAGTGTTCAACTTAAAACCTTGGATTTCTTGTCCCAAATTAATTTTCCGTCTAATGATTAATTTTTTTGTATTTGGCATTAATAAAAAAATAGAAGGATGAAAAAATATAAATACATAATATATGATTGGTAAATATGATATATGCGTATATCAAATGATATATAGACAAATAACATATATTTCAACACACATAATTAACTTTCTATTTACTTTCTTTTCAATTTTGGAGCAGCGATGTTATAGGAACTTTATTTAGAAACTTAATGATGTGGCTTCAATAAAACTATTAGATTAGTTGTGACTTTCAATGTTAGATGAAATCTACAATCAATCCAATGGTTATACATCATTAAGTCCCTCAATAAGGTCCAAATAACATTTTTTCTATTTTGGAAAGATTAATTTTAATGAGCTGAAAGAAAAACTAATGCATTCACTTTTTCATTATTTTTTATTTTTTTTATTTACCAAATATAATATTTTATCTATCCCCTAACTTTTCAATCTTTTAATTTTTTATCTTTTTATTTTTTAATTGTACCAAACAGAGTATAAAAAAAAACTCTTTTTTGTGCTATCTGCACTTGGCCACGCAGAGTGGGGCGTTACGATTCGGTTATACATCTACTTCTATGTCAACCAACTGCACTCAAATTGTTGGCACGTCATAAAATCCAAATTTCAGCAATAATGTACAAACATACAAACAAAAAAAATAAAAATTTAACCATAAGAAATGTTTGGCCAACTTATGCGTACCTAATTAATCTTTTTTTCAGTCCGATTAAAGATAAGTCATCTACATTGGAACTAAAATATTCATAAAGGATAAAATTCATTATAGTCTGGCGCCAAAAATTTGTCAAGATTCAAATTTAGGATATTTGAATTTACAGCATACGTATATTAATAATGTACACACATACAAAGGGTCTCATTGAAATCGTACCACTATTTTTTAACAAATAAAAATGTGTAAATGTGTACATGTACAATTTTTTTTATTTTATAGTTTTATTATCATTTTAATTAATAGTTGCATACCATCATCTTTAAAATTGATGATAATCAAGAATAAGATTAATGGGGGCACAATATCAATTTTGATAATGTAATCTTACCCAACAAAGTAATTGACGAGCCCAATTCCTAATGGATCTGGCCCAACCAATTAATGGAACCCAAATCAACCACAAAGCAAGTCAAGTCCAGTTCATCAATTCAACCCAACTCAAGTTCAAAGGAATCCAAAAAGATTAGAGCACATGAGGAGTAATCATTGAGATATTCACTCTCAAATATCAAGAATACTTTTAATTACACTTACCTATTATAATTGTCATCCCAAAAGACTATTGTCTTTACCCACACATTACCGTCTCAATTAAGGCTTAATGTCTATAAATTGTAAGTCCTCTCCACAAGAGAGAACACGTCTCTACACCTCTCTAGATACCCCTCATATAATTTTTCTCTCTCCTAAGTCTTAACTATTGTACATCTCCTGAAATTTTCTCTCTCTTACTTTATTCATTAGTAAAGGCTCATATAATTTTTCTCTCTCCTAAGTCTTAACTATTGTACCTCTCCTGAAATTTTCTCTCTCTTACTTTATTCATTAGTAAAGGCTTTCCGTCCATTGTTACCGTTTTTTAAAATAGAGTAGGTCATTTGGATCGAATCACTATATATATGTGTGTTGACCAAATATTTACTTTTTTGTTATTAATTATTTTATTAATAAAATTTTATCGCACTCGATTATTGATTTTACATAAAATTATTTTGTGTATCATCAGTAATCACATGTAACGTGTCGTTCTGATGTGACTTTGAAAGACTATTTTTTCTAGAATGCACAAAAGTAGGTTGTCCATTTTGTCACTTTATATTTGATTGGACGGTGATAAATTAAATGTACCTTTGAATATGAAAGGTACATTTAATATTCAAATTGCCAAGAGATGGCTCTTTCACTTAAAAAAATTTGGTCTTTTAGGACCACGAGGATATTTTCTTTGTTTTCGTACTAAAGTATCAACGTTTATATGCTAAGTCATAATTTTTTGAGAATCTAAGTTATAATTCAAAAGAGATTAAGTTACAATTCAAAAAACTCCGATCAATAATATATGTTGTGATTGATTAAAAATAGTCAAGATTATTCGTGATTAATTACAATAACATCGTCAAGTGAATTCGAATTCAATCTCAATAAATAAATATTGTAGAATCAAAACACACAACCTAATAATTAAATTAAATTTGAGCAAAAATACAGTCAAAATCAATCTTGAAATAAAGAAACTTAACTCTAAGGACTACCCGGTGGAGGCATGTTGGAAAGTCAATTAGAAATTTAACAATTGTTTTGGTGCAGACCATTAAAAGTTTATATCTCACAAATTCTGATTCTAGTACAAATAGTTTATGTTTAATCAAAACACGCGTTAAAGGACTCAAAATACCAAAAAATAAAAGTAAATTATACTTTACCCTCCTAAATTATTTCTCTTGTTTTACTTTATACTCTTAACTATAAAATTTCTCACATTACATCCTCAAGTATCAATTTTATTTCATATCACTCTAATAGACAACGACAAACTTAAAAAACTTTAAAAGGAGAGACAAAAACTCCAAATAAAATGTCTAATACCACTTTATTTTATCTCTTTTGCAATCAAATAATTGTTGGGAGGAAAAAGAAGATCGACGAGAGAAAAAAAATTTAGAGTTTAGGAAGAATAAAGTCATGGATATGTATTTTTTCTTGATTTTGGACCAACACATATATAATAGGTAGTTGCTTATTAAAAGTACAAATCACTCACACGTGTATTTATCGTCAAAAAATTGACATTCGTTATAAACTAGAGTGATATAAAATAAAATTAATACTTTAAGGTACAATATGGAAAAATTTATAATTAAAAGTACAAAGTGAAAAAGGTAATAGTTTAAAGGGGTAGAATGTAAAAAAAAAAAAAAAAACTGAACAAAACTTGAACAAACCAAGAATTCAAAGTTCCTCTTCCATTAACAGGTAACACCTTCAGTCAAGGAGTATATCATGCGGAATAACTACCCTATCCCCCTCCCTCCCAATTAGCCAATACCCCAGTTGGCACACACACATTAGTCTACGGTTTCGTTTTCACCCACCCGTCGACTTTTGTAAGCCAGAAACAAATTTGAAAACAAGACGAAAGCGTCGACCAAAGACCCTCCAACTCTTCCAGGTGAGAACGCGTCAACACTCACCTCCTGTCCTCTCCCCCAAATTTCTTTACTCTCTCTCTCTCTATATGTGCATATATAGTTTATGTATAGATCTTCTCCCTAACCACATACACATCTAGATATAAAAGAGAGACCGTTTCGGAGAATTTCTGTGAATTCTCGAGAAATTTGTCTCAATTCCAATGACTATTCGCCGTAATTGTTTGTTGTTAATTGTTGTGTTGATAGTTGTTTGGGGTTCGCAGTGTGGCGACGCGTTTGGGACGTTTGGGTTCGATGTACACCACAGGTACTCCGATCCGGTGAAAGGAATTTTGGACCTCGATGGATTGCCTGAGAAAGGTAGTATGGAGTACTACTCAGCTATGGCTCATCGTGATCAGTTCATACGGAGACACGGTGGTCGCCGGCTTGCCGACACCGTTGACTCATCACCGCTCACTTTCGATGGAGGCAACGACACTTATCGAATCAGTGGTTTTGGATTGTATGGTTTCTTAGCCCTTTTTACTTGATTTAATTGTTTAATTATAGATGATTTTGTGTTCTTTATTTCGATTTTTTGGTTTATAGGAGAATTGAGTGATACTAGTGGTGAATTTGTTGGGAGATTCAGTGAGTTTTGGAGTGCTCTCTGTTTCGTTGTCTGAGAAAAGATAAGAAAATGGCAAGGCAAAGGGAAATACAGTTCGTAATAATCAAACTCTTATTCAAGAAATAATTAAATATGCGTAGCAAAAGCAAATTCTGAAAATATTTAGAAATTTAAGAAAAAAAAGTGTGTGTGTGTGTGAGAGAGAGAGAGAGAGAACTTACTAGGGGAGTAGATCAAGCTTTAATATTTTCAACCTGTTCTTTCCCTTCCTTCCTTTCCAGTTTCGATAGTCAATGAATCCAGCCAAAGGTCACAAAAATGACTCTTTGATTGATGGTTTCAGTTTGGGTCTTGGTTTTTCTATTATGATTCATATAATAATAACTGCTTCTTCAATATCTTTGTGGGAATTTTCAGTTTGCATTATGCGAATGTCTCGGTTGGCACGCCAAGTTTGTCATATCTGGTGGCACTTGACACTGGCAGCGACCTGTTTTGGTTACCATGTGATTGTACCAGTTGTGTACGTGGCTTGGTGCGGGGATCCGGACAAGTACGTTAATCTGTTTGACTTCTGTAGTTTCTTCAGATGAAAAATGCATGTTTGAAAGAAAATACGAGCTTTAACCTTTCTCATGATCTTTTATTATCGGCTTAACTTATGATTTGAAGTGTAGGAGCTTGTTACTCGAGCCAGATTTTTTTTCAGCTTTTGCTATCTCAGAAAATATGTTTAAATTGTTTGAGTGATTTTGCATTTGTTTTCTCAATGTTTGAGAAATCTTTTGAAGAAAATTATATGACATGACCAATACAAAGCGCATTTTGTAATGGTTATTACTGATGACTTTTCAGTTCTCTGATTAGTTTATATTCTGCAAGAACAGGGGAAGGACAGGTCACTGAAAATTTTCATGTGTCGACTATCAAATGGATTTTTGACGAAGTATAGACTTCATTTTCAATATATCTGCTTCTTGTCTTGATCAGATTTCAAAGTTTACCAGACAATGTGTGCAGTTGTGAAGTTCTAAATTAATTGATAAGCCTTAACTCTTAAGCAATGTATGGCAGTGCTGTTGACATTGTTCATTAGGTCTTTTTCTTCTTTTGAACTAATATGCAAAACTTGGATAGCAACTAGCAAGTTTGTAGATGACAAGATATTTTAGGATATTCAATTGTTTGTTGAATTGTAACTGCTATATTGACCAGTAGCTCTTGTAATCTTTTCTTAAAACAGAAGATAGACTTCAATATTTACAGCCCTAATACATCATCAACGAGCATGACAGTTCCCTGCAACAGCACCATGTGTGGACAACAAAGAAGACAGTGCTCTACGACAAGGAAAGCTTGTGCATATCAAGTTGTATATCTTTCCAGTAATACTTCGTCTACTGGGATCTTGGTAGAGGATACGTTGCACTTAATCACAGATGATAGCCCATTAAAAGATGTTGATGCACAGATTACACTTGGGTATGTATTATATCCCGATATTGTGTTTGTCAAAAGCTTCTAGCATAATGGAAACCAGTCTGGCTGCCTGTGACTAACATCATCACTTAGTGAAGGTATTGACGCGTAGTCAAGATAATTTTCTTTCAAGGGGGGTCAGGGTAAGAGGAGGAGCAGTGAATGATGGCGAGAGATCAGTTTTGTTTCAAAATTTTGATCATGCTAACTTGAAATTTCTTGGACTTATTATTTTACCCATCATTTGATTTGAGAATGATCGGTTCTCTTATCGTTTGATTTGAGTTTGGTCATTATTTTTTTTACATTGTACCACTTTAATCTATTGTTCTTCAGGCCTATGTTTAGGTAGAGAATTATTATCTCCACTGGCCCTTATGACTTATTGTGTTCCTTGTATTTCAGCTGTGGAATAATTCAAACTGGCACATTTTTGGAAGGTGCAGCTCCCAATGGTCTGTTTGGGCTTGGTATGGATGCTATATCTGTTCCTAGTGTTTTAGCAAGTCGAGGACTTGCTGCAAATTCTTTCTCTATGTGTTTTGGGCCTGATGGACTGGGGAGGATCGTTTTTGGAGATAAAGGCACCTCAGACCAAGGAGAAACACCATTCAATATTGGCCAATTACAGTAAGTTATTGCTTTAATAATACGGACCAACTATAGTGGTTATCACTTGTTATTTGCATAACGCCGTTCGGCGTTCACTAAGTGCAGAATATCAACTCTTAATGGCTTTGGCAAAATGATGTGCTATTTGTTCTCATATATTTTTCTGAATCCCACTACCAGTCCGACATACAATATCAGCGTGACACAAATAACCGTGGAGAAAAATGTCACTGATCTCAATTTCAATGCAATCTTTGACTCCGGCACCTCGTTTACTTATTTGAACGACCCAATTTATACAGTTATATCAGAGAAAGTAAGTCATACTGACTGTAAATATTGGTATTTTATCTCCAGTTTAACCATGTGCTTCGTATTAATAAGAAGGATGTTTCTGGCTATTATGCAGTTCAATTCTGCAACCAAAGACAAACGCCATCCACCTGATTCCAGTCTTCCTTTTGAATATTGCTATGACTTAAGGTCAATCTGATATGGAAAATATTTTTTGTTTGTGTGACTTTTTGATTGAACCCTCAAGGACTGACTCATCCTCTGAATGCAGTGCAAATCAAACTACGATTTCGGTTCCAGATGTCAATCTAACTATGGAAGGTGGAACCCAATTCTACATTACCGATCCAATAATAGTAACTAGTGTTCAGGTAAGGTTTCATTTGTTGCGTTTTAATATCGTTCTCCTTTTCTCTTGGGATGTTTACTAATGTGATAATACTCTCCCAGGGCGGTGGCTATGTATATTGTTTGGGTGTTGTCAAAAGTGAGGACATAAATATCATTGGACGTGAGTATATTGTTACATATTACTTTCTTAATGGAATTTACTGTTTACATTAACGAGGACTTCATTTCCATATGATATTTGCTTAAAGCAACAAACTTAATGGTTCCAGCCACACTCTTATCAACAGATTATTGCCTGTCAAATATACTCTATTGCCTATGGTAGTTATGCATTCTTCTTGACAGTCATGCTAACCCTATCTCACCCTCCTCCCCCCCCCCCCCTCCCCCTTCCAAAACCCACCGGGGGAAAATGGAGGAGGGGGGGTGTTAAATGGGTACTCCCAATATTATCATAACTTGAAAGAGGAGCATAAGATGTGATTCTTGAGATACAGCAGAGGAGCGTAACTTGAAAGAGGATCATTGCTTTGTTTTGATTTTTAAGTCATTTGCTGCATTTGTTTATATTTGAAGTATCATTGGTAGCGTAGTATCTATGGATTGTGTGTGTTTGTTAAGGAAAATGTTATGTCCACCAAATCTTTTATCAAATTTTATATCTCAAATGATGTGACAAATTGAGAGTTATAAGATAATGAGGGAAAACTTATGGGACCTACGGGGCCTATAGTTCATATTATAGGATAGTTAGTAAAAACTTATGGAACCTACTGGTCCTATAGTTCATATTAATTTGGGATAAAAAAATTGGTGGATGTAGCATAACCTGTACATTAAACGCCAATAGACTCCTTCTTGACAATATCTGTTTGTTTTGTTTTTATCCAGAGAACTTCATGACCGGTTACCGTATAGTTTTTGATCGTGAGAAGATGGTTTTGGGTTGGAAGGGTTCTGACTGTGAGTATTGTTTCTTCATTATTAATTTGTTTTTTGAAACTCTCTCTCTCTCTCTCTCTCTCTTAAGTGAGTTGGGATTTGTTGTACCCAGGTTATGATGCCAAAACTTTCAATACTCTACCGGTAAGCCCGCGAAGCTCCCCTGCAGGTCCTCCCGATTCCACCGTCAAACCAGAAGCCACATCAGGAATTGGAAATGGCTCCCCTTTTCCAAGTTCAACACCGCCACCACCATCTGCAGGGAACCATTCGCGCCGCTTGAATTCCTTTGCTTACACACTTCTGTTGGCTCTTTTTTCTCTTTCGACCCACTATTTGATCATTCTTTCCTCATGAGGTTTTTTCTTTTCTTTTTTTTATCATTATATGTATTTTTATTAATATGAGGTGTATTACACACAATATTTGAGCTATTGCGTGCTTCCTATTTATTAGGACTTTCAGCATTGATTCCATCCTGAGTTGTAAATATACTACTGTTTCTCAGCATCTCTCTCTGTATAATAAATAGGAGAATGAATGTAGAATTTGTTTTCTGACTCTCAATGCTAATACGCGGGCCGGATTTTCTCTTGAGGGGCCGAATAGTGGTATAACAATGTATTTTTATTTAAAGTGAATCATTCAATTAGATCATTAATATTATGACATTTACGTGCATAGAACACATAAAACTCAATCTCACACAGTACAATATAATTATTATTTTCAATAAAATGAATAAAGTTAATCAAAACTAGTTGAATTATTAGATATAAAAGTCAAATCAATTGCATCATTAATAATTTAAAATAGTTTAAAATTTAAAAATATATACAATACCAAAATTTAACTATTTATACAAAATTTCACAATTTTAATAGTTAGTAGTTCAAAATGGTCTAATCAATAGTCGAGAAGATAAAACAAAATCAAGATAATAATTTAATGTATAAATTATAATTTTAAGAATTTGAGTGATTTATAAAATATGATCAAAATATAATTTAAAGGGTATAATGTATAATTCAAAAAGTTGTGGGGGGCCATGGCGCAACATGTTTTCTAATTTACCATTAAATAAAATCCGCCAGAAAACATGATACATTTAAAGAGATGGTACATTCTATGCCTTTGGGATTTGCAGCCATACCCTGCTTGTAAGACTGCCTTAACAGCATGATCTAGCACATTGGCGCCATTTCCGCACTCCAACAAGAGACTTCGAAACAAAATTTTCTTCCATTCTTCCAATTTTAGAGAACTCAGAGCCTTCGTAACTGAACAAACCGAAATTGTAACTGAACAAACCGAAATTGAGAACCCATGTGTCTCACTTTCTTGCCTTCGTATTAAGTTGTGATCTGTCCTTTTTCCGTGACACCTTATTGTTACAGGGCAAAGGAACCTGCTTGGACTTCATCTTAATTGACCTAACCAAATGAGAGAGCTCGTGCTTCTCTTTTTCTGAGGGCAACCCGTTAGACCGCAACTGCTCAGCTCTGTTAGTCTCCAGGTTATCAGATAACTGAGCTTGCCTAGTTGACACTGTATGATCTTCTTCCCCTATACTTTCCTGGTTACCTTTCTGTTGCTTCTGTGCTATCTGCCGAGCATAAGCTGCACTCCTGTTACATCCAAATTCATTTTGTAAGCGTATGAAGAAAGTAGATCGTAGAGCAAGCAGTGAATTCAAGACAAGTCTGATTAAATTTTCGGAAAATGAAATTTTTTAATGATGATTAGGAGATCTAAACAAGAAGGTGCATATTCAAGTAGTCCAGTAATTGGCTAAAAAAAGTGAGATACAATCGTTAATTTAATGTGAACAAATACCTTTTGAACTGAGGATCTGTGGGATCCAAGGCAAAGAGAGGTGAAGTGAAGAAGCCGGAAAAAGGTGCATCATCATAGTTAATAGTTGGTATTTTGGCCCTCATCTGGAAGTCCTTTCCCTTTCTTCCCCTTGGCCTTTTTAGGTTTCAAATTGTAGCCCTTTAAGCTCGTATCTGCACCCTTTTCATCAGCAAGTAATAACTCAAGCTCTGCTCTACTTGCTTCAGCTTTCTTCGGCTGTTTCTTGATTCTGCTTTCCTTTGCGAGCACTTTTAGCTCGAGCCACCTTAGTTCCTTTAACAGGAGATTCATCAACAAAGAAGTCATCAGGTTTTTCCTTTGGTTCTCAATCAGAATCACTACTATCATCCTCTGATGAGCTCTTGGATCTATTTTTCTTGGCTTTCTTTTTCTCACTTCTCTTCCTAAGATACGCCTCCCAGACAGTTTCTGATTTCTTATCCTTCTTCTCTAAAATTTGCTTGCTTATATCCTCTAAACCAGTATTGAAAGTGACCTCCATATCCTGGCCACCATCCTCCTCATCTCCATCTGAACCATCCCCAGACTGGATTAAAGCATGGTACTGTCTTGTTTTTTATGTTTTCTGGTAGATCTATCTGCCATGGCATCATCACTCTCACCTTCATCAGTTTCACTATGATCAGAAGTCAGAAACTCCTCCTACTCCAATTCCTTAAGCTGTATGGAAACGATGATTCGTGCAAGTATAGATGTGAAAAAATAGCAATCAAGTAAGAATAACACAAAATAATTATTAAACTAGTTCTTTTATTAGGTTTTTAATAGTATTCACCATTGCTATAGTCTCTTGTTATCACTGTAATTGATAGATTGTAACAAGCAGCAAAACTCCCGACTTCTAACAGCACAGAGACGAATCCTTAGACAGATAAAATACAAGTGGACTCCTCAATGCAACAAATTCAATAAGAGTGGTCAGGGAGCCAAGAAGAATTTTAATGAGTTAAACAAAAAACTAAAGATTGATGCAAAAGGGGCCATGATTTCTTTTCTTCTCCCCAGGGAGACAAAGATGAAAGGGGGGCCTGGAACTGAAAATGTGATTAGATGTCATCATTCAGTAGAGCTTAAAATATGAACATAAGTAAGACTCTAGTCAAAAGAAGAATAGGCAACTCAACCCAACTAAGCTTCTCCGAATTATTTGGATTCAACTACATGGATCTTGTCCAAGAATGTTATTCTATCTAAAACCATGTTCTTTATTGAATCACAAGCTTTCATATCCTTCATTACTATTCCGATCAACGTTAATTTTGGTCTTCCTCTACCTCTAGTGATGCCGTCAAATGAAATAACATCATGCTACCTCATGGATGCAATTGGATATCACCTTTGGCAAATGCATTCATTTCTGATTTACCCTAGTTTGTTTTACCACGCAAATTTCTTAACATCTGTATTTTAATCATGCTTAATATACGCCTAAGCCGCCCAGGTAAAAAAACGTAGTCTCATGGTTGTTTTGTATAACTTTTCTTTTGGCTTGAGATGGCTATGTCAATCAGGGTACACCAGAAACACTGCTCATTTACTCTATATTGAGTTATGAGAAGTCATATCCAATCTCACCCTCCTTGTGAATATCAAACCAAAATACTGAAACTTTTCACTGTGGTGCCTCTTGATTTTTTTCTTTACTACCACCCCATTATATTTATTGCTTTTATTGAAGTTACATTTCACATATTCAATATTTATTACAGCAGTTTTAAAATTGTATAATTCTAGAGCTCCTATGCAGACTTCTATTGAAGGTATCAAAACATCTAAAAATTGGCATAGTTATGGAAAAATAGACTTCAGATGGATTAATAATTACTCACTATCATAAAATGAATGATAAGGACAGTTGATCAGCAAAAAATTCATATATACGTATTTGGATATACACATATTTTGAAGAGAAAAAAAGATACTATCTGGTAGCATATGATCATGTCAAAGATGTAAATGTAGGTTCGCCAATGAATCTCTTCTAAGGATCCCAATTATGATAATAAAAGTTTATTATGCTGAACAATCTATCCACAATACTGTATCCTTAAAAAATGGTAAGTCACATGCGCCCAAGACTTCCTTTTTTGGTTCAGGTATCCATGTATTATCTGGTGGATTACACATATGTTGGAAGATGATATCAAAAAAGGTCAGAATGATGTATGCATGTTCCCAATGATAATAGCTTGTATCAGTCTAATTCCTTCAACAACAACAATTAACAGTTACTGAGACAGGGTGGGCAAGGCAAGAAAACCAAACCAAAAGGAACTGCCAGTGATACCCTTGAATTTTCTGTTTTGAAAATATAAATGTAAAGACCATCTTGCAGCTGCAATGGCCAGACAACATCAAAGAAAAAGAAAAAATATTTCTTATATTTAAGATCCACATGAAGCCAAAAACAAATTATAGAAAAATATAAGGGTTAATCTCATTTTACACCCCGAAAGATAGTTCGAATCTCAATTTACACCCTCAAAGAGCAAAACTCTCAATTTGCTCCCTCAAAGATAGAAATTTGTATCAATGTGCACCCCCAAAGATCAAAAATCTCAATTTGCACCTTCAAAGATAGAAATTTGTATCAATGTGCATCCCCAAAGATAAAAAATCTCAATTTGCACCCTCAAAGATAGAAATTTATATCAATGTGCACCCCAAAGATAAAAAATCTCAATTTGCACTCTCAAATATATAAATTTGTATCATTATGCACCTAAAACTAAATTGATAAATTATACCTAGATCCTCTCATGTTTGTCACTTAATCATTTGAACCTCTTTACATTTAGAATATTACTCCTACATCTCATGACATTTATGCACGTATAACATGTAACCCATTTTCATTGATATTTGTTAATATAACCGTTAAAAAATATAATTTTATCCTAATAAAAAATTATAATTTCATATTACTCTTATTTTATGGGTCCAATATACTCTAAAGTTCAAAATCAAGCTTACCATTTGAATGTATAATAAAATGTAGATATTTATATAATGTTTTTCATATTTTCCTTTTTATAAATATCTACATTCTATTAGACATTCAAATGGTAAGCTTGATTTTGAACTTTAGAATATATCGAATCTACAAAATAAAGGGTAATATGAAATTATAATTTTTTATTAGGATAAAATCATATTTTTTAACGATTATATTAATAGATATCAACAAAAAGTGGTTATGTTTACACATGTACAAACTTCATGAGATGTAAGGGTAATATTCTAAATGTGAAGGGGTTCAAATGATTAAGTGACAAACATGAGGGGATCTAGGTATAATTTATCAATTTAATTTTAGGTGCACATTAATACAGATTTCTATCTTTGAGGGTGCAAATTGAGATTTTTGATCTTTGGGGGTGTACATTGATACAATTTTCTATCTTTGAGGGTGTAAATTTAGATTCGAACGATCTTTCGGGGTGCAAAATGAGATTAACCCAAAATATAAATCCAACCAAAACATAGTCATAACTAAAAACAGGCTGCCTATATTGTGGTCATGCAAGTAGCAAACTTTCAGAATGACGGCAAGCATAAGGCACCTGCATTTTTCTTGGTAGGCAAATCTCAGGAAAGATCTTTAAGGGATACTAGAGTCCTGCCTTTAGGGGCTCACAATTATTTACACTTACGACACTACTTCAACTATTAATGTGTAACTTCGAGGGCCTGACTTTTTAATTGGAGCATTCTTCAGGAATGATAATCATTAGTTGTTGCTCAAAACTCTTTTGGATAAGTCGAATCAAGGAACATTATACTGAGTTCCTCTTAGTGTTACATAGTAACAGGAACACTGTGGTTACAGTCATGATGATGAAAATGCAATGGAACTTACCTCTGTTACAACATCATGGGGAGGATGCTTAAACTCCATAGAATCTGGAATAAACCTCAAGTCCAGCTTGTTTGATGAGCCTTCAAACTCAAGCCCGTCACATCTTTTATATAGGTAATCTGCTGTAGCACTAGAATCACATTCCACTACAGCATAATAGTACCTGGAAGAGGCAAAGTGAGATTATAACAGCATCAGCACTACACTTCGGAATACATAAGCCTATGCCAAAGAAAGATAAGTATGAAATACAAAGGGTTGGCTCGGCTACATGTACCCACTTCAAGGGGGAGAGGCCATATGATCAAAACTTGCCAACTCCTCCGGGATCTCCCCCAGGATTTATCCCAATAGCTAAAATGAAGAAAAATGAACGGCACATCCATGGACAGTGCAATCCGGGCATTCTTTATTGCAATGAAGTGCAGTGTCTTTTGATAAGTAACATTAAAGGGCAGGCAGAAAACCAAAACTATAGATGAAAATAGCTCAACTCTTTGAAAAGTGACTGCACTTTTGGTAATATGCAGTACCCTAACTTTTTTCCCAAAACTTCTTCGTTAAATTTCTAAATATTGAGGATAAATGATTGTGGGAAAGAAAGGAAAATATTTCATAAATTTTCCACATACTTCATTCATATTCGTTGCTCGTGAGCTAGATAAGAATTCATGAGATTTATGAAACACCATCTTCACCATTTATGTAAATTAAACTTTACTAAACTTTGTTCCCGTAGGAATAAAACTATTGGAGTTGCCACGCTGTCGCTAACCCACAAGCAAAAAGTGAAACCAGTTTTCTTTCCAAAAAAAAGAAGTGACTGTGAAGGTAAACCAAACCAACCATCCCTTATGTCCCAATCATTTGGAGTCAGCAATATGAGTCCATCTATATGCTCAATTAAAAGTCATTGTGAAGGTGCGAACTACAATCCGTAAATTTTTTCCAAAAGCACCGCTTGTTTCAAAAGAAATAAAATTCAACACTTAATATCCCAAGTATACCTGAAACTGGTTCACAATCTTCAACTATAAACTTGGGTACTCCAACAAACAAATATAAATTCAATTACAAAGGAGTTCAATAACAAACCGCCACTTGACCCCAATCCAAATTGACGACAGCAAGCCTGTGGTTTCTTTGTCAGTTTCCGGTACATTTTCCTCCTGTTCACGGACAGAATTTCAACTTGTTCATCTTACAGCGTTGAATTTGTGGCAAAATAAATTACATCTTTAACAGCTTACCTGCAAAAAAATTATCCTCTTATCCTTGCGAATAACACGCTCATCTTCTCAAATCTGTAGTACTATGTTGAAGATTAATCCTCTGCTCCACATCATCATCATCCTCTTGTTTCCTTCATCATCCTCCTCCGATTCCGATACCAAATCAGA